TTTTTCTTCTTTTTGTCAATTTTGTTTTTGAATCTCGTAAATAATGTTCAATATCTCAAAAAGTAAAAAAGTTATAAGTACAGATTTTTAAAATTAAGAAAAAAAAACCATCAAATTTATGTACTTGTAATTAATTTATTTGTTTAATGATTAATAAAAATGTTTAAAGAAATTGCTGAAGGAATTTCAATTTCTAGTTGACGAAAAAAAGACAGTTCCAGGTATTTATGGAAAGCGAGCAACGCAAGATTTTCAGACTTGAAAAAGAATCTATCCCTATCATGACCGCACGCCTAGAGTCTTGCACGAAACATTGCCGTGAAGGACGCCAATTCGTTTTGAGATGGATTTGAATATGTATTCTCTTGAAATGTAGTGCGAAGTCTATAGTAATGTTTCAAGTTGTGTACAAGTCTTACAAGAAAAGCTTATTTTAAGTAAGTGTTTATCCAACAAAGTAAACCTTACAAAGTTTTTTGTTTCGAAAATGATTGAACACTTGATAATATGCTCAAATTGCTATTTAGTAGTAAGTTGTATGTAAGCATATCAATATTTTTAATAACAGTAAACATGTTTTGATTTTAAAATGTGTAGTATTTACGTGCTATTCTTATACGTGTTATTTTCTTGATTATTACCGATCCACACATATCTCGTTTTTTTCTGCTTCTCGAGGCGCGCAGAGGTCTATTGGGATTGATTGCTTTTCAGCAAATGCGATTCGCAATCTGGTTGGCTAATCGATTTCCGTCAAATCACCTGGTGTATGTTAGTATATTAATATTTTTAATAACAATAAACATGTTTTGATTTTAAATTGTGTAGTATTTACAAGCTATTCTTATATGTGTTATGCTCTTGATCATTATTGATCCACAAATACCTTGTTTTTTTCTGCTTCTCAAGGCGCGCAAAGGTCTATTGGGATTGATACTTTTTCAGCAAATGCGATTCGCAATCTGATTGGATAATTCCATCAGATCACCTGGTGTCGTCTCAAAAAACTGATTAACAAGGTGAAATTCTAAAAACATTATTTCTGACTGACATAAAGATCATAAAGATATACAATTTTTTTTTTTTAATTGCATTTATTTATTTATTGTTTTCTAACTTATAGCACAACGTTTTGGATAACCAGCTTTCTATGGTTTGATAGATATCCACATGTAGCCACGACAAAAGGAAGAAGTAGCCTTTTGTGTCGAAATGTTTTAGATGTGCTTCGATAGATTTTTAAAAACCCAATTGCATGTTTGATCTTAACTGTAATAGACTGTAAAATCATATTAGCGTTTCGTTGCCGCTGGTTTCGCACGACCGTCCTACAGTAGCGGGATATCCACCATCAGCAGCAAACCTCGCTCCTCTTAGCATTGCAAATTGTCCTATGCCCAACTGTGGAATCATCCAATAGGTCTCCGAGTCATTCAGATGACCTGGAAATCTTAAAATATACACTAGTTCGTACCATCTCCACACCGTTCTTCGAATTGGTCTTCGCAAACTCAAACTTCAAGTTCGTCGTTAGACTCTAGTCCGCAGCCAATGGTTGTAACAAAGAAAACTCCAGTACACAAGTACACAGAATTACAATTAAAACCTGAACTTTTTGAGTTTTAGTATGCTTACTTTTGGAGTTTATATGCTAATCATTCTATATAAGTAACCCCCCGTCCCCAATTCCTAGGGCTTAGAAAAAAACGCAATGAAAAAAACTATGAAATAAAATAAATAAATAAATAAAATAAAATAAACCCTTCTAACCCCTCTAATTGGAATCTGTAATATTTTTAGCTATGGTTTTGTTCTCATTCACTTAACTGGAACAATAAATTCCAATTCGGCCGGAATTCCGCTCAATCGGAAAACCCTATTTGTAATCGCAAAAAGGTATTTTCTTAGCTCGCGATGTCCTGCAAGAAAGTCAAACACTATGTTAATCCGATTTGCACTTTAGGTTTTGCACATTTTTTAGATGCCTGCACGTAGTTCCGCGTATTTTTCTTGTTTTTTAAACCGTTCTCTCCGCCATTTCACCAACTTGACAAACTGTGCCTTGTTTCTTTATMTTTTACAACTATGTCTGGTTTATTCACACCGTTTTCTGGAGCTTTCTCAAATTGAAAGGGTACATTCCATTATATTTTTGGCTTTTTCATTTCGAAGTACTGCTGATGGCATACTTTGTTGGTACCATGGCTTTCCATTATCGCTTTCTTGAACGTTGTACTTTTCCAGCAAACAGTGGTATATCGGTCTCAGCATTCTGTCGTGCCCGGCTGTGTAAATCATCATCATCATCATCATCTTCCTCCTCCTTGTCCTCCTCCTCCTCCTCATTATCAAATCAAAGCTAGTAGAACCAACGATCCCAATGATTGGGCTTTATTTAAGAAACAAAGAAATATAGTCAATAAGCAAATACGATTAACTAAACAAAGGTATTACCAAAATAGCTTTAATGAGTACACCAGCGATTCCCGAAAGACCTGGCAAACTGTCAACGAGCTAACTTGCCGAAAATCTGGGAAACGTCAGTGATGGCACTAAAAGTGAATGGATTATCGATAACTAATCCATTGGAGCTATCAAACGAATTTAATAACCATTTTGTTAACATTGGTCCAAAACTTTCCAGTGAGATAGACTGTGATGGCGGTAGCCATCAAAGATATCTTAATGGTACAGATAAACGGTTTGAGCTCCAACCGACTAATTCAAATAAAGTCTTTTCAACTTTAAATAAACTAAACAAATCAAAGGCAACAGGCATTGACAAAATATCTGCTAGGCTTATCAGAGAATGCGCTGATTTGATTTGTGTGCCTTTATGTGATATTTTCAATCAATCTATTAAGTTAGGGATTTTCCCAGATGACTGCAAATACGCTAGGGTTACCCCTCTTTTTAAACAGGGTAACCGCAGGGACGCTAACAATTACCGTCCAATATCAGTGATTCCAATAGTGGCAGAGGTGTGTGAAAGGATAGTTTACAAACAATTATATGCCTATTTGGAAGAGTACGATATTCTATGTCAAAACCAATCAGGGTTTCGTGCTATTCACTCAACTGCAACAACTTTGTTGGAAGCTACAGATTCTTGGGCATATAATATTGACAACGGTAAAATCAATGCTGTCATTTTTCTAGATTCAAAAAAGGCCTTTGACCATTGACGACCAAATCCTTTTATCTAAATTAAGCTATCATGGTATATATGGTCATCGTAATTCAAAAAGACTGGAAGAAAGATCGATCAAACATTCACACACAATACCGGGAAAGATGGCGGACGTTAGTAAAAGCTCTGCACCARTTACCTTAGAAGTAGTTACGGAACTTCTTAAAGTTCAGGAAAACTGTTACAACAGCTTTCTAAAAATGTTAATGAATGATTTCAACAGTCGTTTAGATATAATAACTCGTGATATTCAAGAAATCAAAAGCAAAAGTCTTGAGTACTCTCAAAGTGACATCGATGATCTCAAGGACAAAGGTAAAACCGTTGATGATTTGAACACCAATCTAAATACATTGAAGAAACAATTTGAAGAGCTGGAAGATAAAGTGGATTATCTCGAGAATCAGAGTAGGCGAAATAATGTAAGAATTTCAGGTATTCAGGACGATCGAATTGAAAATTGGGAAACAACCGAAAAGAAAGTCAAAGACCTGCTTGATTCAAAGTTGGGTTTGGATGCTGACAATATTGTAATCGAAAGAGCTCACCGTACTGGSAAACCGAGAAGTGGAAAACCTAAACAGATTGTCGCAAAGTTTCTCAACTACAAAGATAAAGAACAGATCCTAAAGTGTAGCAAGAGGCTGAAAGGTACAGGAATCTTCATAAACGAAGATTTCTCGGCATGTGTACTTCAAAGGAGGAGTGAACAGCAAGAAGAACTACGAAAAGCTCGAAATGAAGGAAAATTGCCTTCTTTAATGTTGATCGTTTGGTCATAAAAGGTCGCTATCCAAGCCAGTTGCCGTCTGCGCCTTTTGGATTTTTGGGAGTAAGTGCTGGATATTACCCAGGTCTAGCACAGAGTCAAAGCACGATTGGAGATGATGGTAACAATGATGGCTGAATTTGTACATGTTAACTTAGCGCTTTTCAAGGCAAGATCAATTTGTTTGACAAGAGGAGAGAACC